AGGATCCCTCCAGAGGGAAGCAATGGTGTATTTTTCGGATAGTTTTGAGACTGTACTTCTGGTGCTTTTTTTACCTTTCACTGTGGGAGAGAAAAAGAAAGATGATTATTGGCTTTCCAACTCTGACAAGTTGCTTTGGACCTTAGTAATTTGCTAACCTTGTTGTGCAGAAGTAAAAAGACCCTGCTTGGCGGCACTTCCTTGATGGGGGTACTCAGAGTCTGACTTAATACTTCCCTGGCTCCAATGGGTGCCCCCCAAACTAATATCACTCTGTATGATGACACCTCTGCCATCGGTCTTCAATGTGCAGGCTGATGACTTTCCAAAGATGATCAAAAGCATCATTTTAAAAATAAAGTCAGAGAGTTAAAAAATAGTTCTTAAATGTTAAAAAAAAAAGAGGGGGGGGCAGAGAAAATACAACTGCCCGGGGCGGGGACCAGGGTATAGATGGTTGTAGCAAATAAACAGTAAATTTACCTCTGACATTCATCATTATATTGTTATTTAGGCCATTTCAACCTGTTCATTTCTAACAGCCCAGAGAGAATGAGAGAGAGAGAGAGAGAGAGAGAGAGAGAGAGAGGAGAGAAGAGAGAATATTGTTTCATATTTTTATATATTCGTACCAGTTTTTTCCCAACTAAACTTGAACTTCAGGAAGGAGAGAACCTATCTCACACTTTTTTTTTTGCTTCCTTCCATATCCCACCAGAGTACTTCCTTGAACACAACAAGTACTCCAAAAACATTTTTATGGATTCTGACCATGTACGGATATTCCATGCAATTCATAAATTTATAAAATCTTTTACCTAATGGAAGGATGGCCTACCGGCTTCTTTAAATATCCACTTAATCTATATTTCCTGGCTCCCCTACTCAGCTCTCAAAATAGATTCTCGTAGTGACTATTAGACCTTAAAAAAAGGATGTGATGTATGGGTGTCTCCCATCAGACCTTGGGGCTGATACTCCACTGGTAGGATTGCTCCGTAAAACCTTTGGCTGGAGCTGCGATTTTGCAGTAGACGCCCTAGCGCCGAGTTTCTAAGCTTCCTGCGGACAAGCTGACTGTCCTGTCTGCATGATTTCATTACTTACTGCCCTGACACTACCCAGCCACTCTCGTCATCCAGAGATCTGTTACTTTTAACTTCTAGTAGGTGAGAATGCACAACTTCGAGAATGCACTCCCTCTCGTCTCCCCCCAAACTTCTTAGTAAACCATCTACTGGTTTTTTATCGCGTGTTTCACCCATCAAGAACAATGTCTCCGTTTCCCTAACTTGAAACCCGTCAGCCTGAAATTGGGCCTCCTACCAACAGACTGAAAAGGCCCTAGAATTCGCCAGAAGCACAGAAACAACACTCTGCAGGGTGGGGCCAGAGTAGGTTTAGGCTTGTCCCTATGGACGAGACAATCATTAATAAGACAAGAATAAACTCTTCTTCTTCACCACTGTGAGCCTACTTTTGCCCGCCCTGTATCTCACGGAATAACAGACTCTCCCTCCCTCTAGGGATGACTTTGACCTCTGGGCTCCATCAGGAGGGCGCATGGGAAGGGAGAGGTAGAGGGTAGAGAAGGTCCCCTCCTGCTCCTAACAGGACATCCCCGCACTCTTTGGGGTCTGGGACGTCCTGTGCTCCTGGTGAGACCTCAGCAGTCACCCCGCACTCTGCGTTGCACACGCACTGCTTTGCACGGGGAGCTCACGCCTCTGGCCTGGAGCAAAGCGAAAGCGCATTTCTGCCCAGTGGGAAGGTCCCCTGGCCAGTTGGTTAGCAACAGGCTGGCCCGGGCCGGCTCGGGCAGCACAGAGCAAACACATTGCATTTGACCATGACTCGTCTACCCACTTTCTTCCCTCTGCAGTTTGCAATTTTCCTTGCAAACCTCGAACCACTGCTTTCCCGGGTGAACTCGACTTTTCACTTGCCATCCGTGCCTCCCTCGCAAGGGTTCCAACGTCTTGAGGGTCTGCGTGTCGAGCCTCCTCCGTGGCCACCATGCACACGAAGTTTAATGGCAAAGGACAGAAACGGGAGTAAAAGTTTTTGGAAGGGAGGGAGGAGAAGCCGGGCAACCGTGGTCTTACACCCCCGCTTCCCTCCGCAGTTCAGAGTTGTGGCTTGATACGTACCAATTAAGGAATCAGGCTCAGGCTTCTGCAAGCATCAATTTGACTGTAATTCCCTAACATTTGGTCACTTGGGAATGTCTTTCCTTGTAACCGTGCAAGTGCACGCATGTGACGCGAGGGCTCCCGGGGAAACACAGGCGCTCGGCTCCGCCGCTGCGAGACCACGTTCAGGGGAACGCCGGCCCGAAACGGCCGCCCCGCAGCGCCCCACGTGCACCGGGAAGCGGGGCGCCGCAGGGTCGGGCAAGAACGTCCCTGAGCGCTGCTCCCCGCTCGGGCAGCCGAGGACCCGGGACCCAGGCGGCGTCACCCCCAGCAGGGAGCCACCTAATGCCGGACTCGAGTCCTCGGTGCCACCCCGAGCGCCCGGCCGCCCGGGCGGGGATACCTGCACGACTCGGAGCGGCCAAGCGCCACCACGTTTCAAAGTGTATTTATGGTTGTCACGGTGCCCACCGGCGCGCTGGCTCCGCAACCCCGGCGCGCGCGAGGCCTCGGAGCCTGGAGACAGGCCCCTCCCCGCGCAGCTGTCGCCGCCGCCCGCGGGCTCCTTTCACTTTCTCACGGCCAAGTCACCCAGAGGGGCGCCGCTGCCACCGCCGCCGCTGCGCCCGCCCGCCCGGGGACTCCGCCCCGCGCCGCGCCGCGCCCGGCCCCGCCCCGGCCGCTCGGGCCCCGCCCACCCCGACACCTTCGGCCTGCGATTGGGGGCGCGCGAGCGGCAGCTCAAGCCAGCTCCTCCCATTGGCCGAGCCCTCCTGCCAGTCCGGCGATTGCCCGCCACTGCCTCCGCCCTCCTGAAAAGGCGCCCTCCTATTGGAGGAGACGGCAGCCGGGGGGCGGGCGGGCGGCGCCGGGCCGGGCGCTTTCGGTCAATCGCAGGAGCCCAGCGCCGTAGGGGGTGGGGGGTCGGAGGCGTGGGGCGGAGGGGGCGGGCCGAGGGGGGGCAACATCTGGCCGGCGCCGCCGCGTGCGTGCGTGGTGCGTCCTCCCGCCCCCTCCCCGCGGCCCCCCCGCCCCGCCCCCCCGGCCCGGCGGCTCCGCTCGCTCCTCGCTCGCTCCCTCGCGGTGTCTGGCAGGCTGCGGCCGCCGCTGGGCTGCTGCCATGGGGAGCCGTTGAGAGTGGGGCCTCTTCGCTCCGCCGCGCTCCTCCGGCTGCCAGCGGGGGCGGGCGGGAGGGAGGGGGCAGGGGGAGCGGGCGACGGAGCCGGGCTTGGGGGGTGGGGGGGCCGGGAGGGAGGGGGCGCGAGGAGGAGGAAGCCCACCAAGTCCGGCGGCGGCGACGGCCGGGAGGCGGAGGCGGAGGACGCGGCGGCGGCGGCGGCGGCGGGGGACGCGGTGACTTGGGGCCGCTCCGTGTGAGTCCCGCGCCGGTCCGGCCTCTGACCCGGCGCCCCTCTGCGCCCCGACCCCCGGCGGGCGGGGGCGCCAGCTGTGCGGCCGGCCAGGCGGGGCGGTGTGGGCGGAGGGCGGGCGGGCCGGCCGGCCGGGGGCGCCCCCCGCGAGTGGAGTTAGTTTGTGCGGTCGGAGCGGTTGGGCGGCGGGGGGCGGCGCAGCTGCGGGAGGCCCGGGCGCGGGGCCGGGGCTGCAGCTGCGGGGTCGGGCGGGGTGCGGGCTGGCCGGCTCCGCGCCCCCCCACCTCCACCCCCCCGGCCGGTGCAGCTGCGGCGCGGGGCGGGCTCCGGGCCGGTGCAGCTGCGGTGGCGCCTCCCCGGTGCGGAGGGCGGCGGGCGCGGGGGGGAGGGGGCTTGGGAGCCGCCGCAGCTGCAGTGGCGCCCGGGACGGCCGCGCTCCGGGGACCGGTGCAGCTGCAGTGGCGCCCGGGGGAGGGGCTGCGGGGGAGCCCCCCTCCCTCTCCCCCTCGCCCCCCCCCCCCCGGCGGGTGCAGTTGCCGGGAGGCCCGGGGCGGCGGGGAAGCGGTAGCCACCACCCCCCGCCTCCCCCACCCCCCACCCCCCCGCCCGGCTGCTTCTTACGACTTTTCTTTTGTTGCTGCCGCGACCCGGGTCTGTTTTCGGGGCTGTTGTTGAAGGTGTTTTCCTGCTGCACCGGCTCTACGCCCTCCGCCTCCTTCCCTGTGGTCGGACCTTCCTCTTTCCCCGCGTGTTGGTCTGCCCAGGCCCCCGCGGGGGGATTTGCATGGCTCCCCGCTCCCCCCGTCCGTCCGTCCGTCCGCCCGCTCCCCGCCCCCAGCCCCCGCCTCTTTGAAAAAACAAACCCCGAGCTTCCCGGCCGGCCGGCCCCCCGGTAGCCGGGCGCGAGGGGTTGATTTGTGGGCTGGGAGCCGCCGCCGGCCCACGGCGGTGCTCGGGGCCCATTAAACTGTCAGCCGCCCCCACCCCGCCGGGGCCGCGGGCTGATGGATGTGGGAGACGGCGGGACGGGACGGGACGGGGCGCGGGGGGCGAGCGGGTCGTGTGGCCGGGGAGGAATTCAGCGGCGGGGAGGGCGCCCTGGAAGCGGCGTTCGTCGCTGTGTCATTCATCGCGAAGTTGGAGAAAGTTAGGCCGGGGGCCTGGGGACGGCGCGGCGGGCGGGGCCGGGGGGCCGTGCCACCCGTGGGCTCCGCGGCGTGGTTTCTTCCCGTGGACAGAGGGTGAGCACCCCCCGGGGCCGCCGCACCCCCCCCACACCCCCCTCGCCGTGGCCCAGCTGCTGGCCTCCCCGTCGCCCTCCCCCGGAGCCTGCGGGGATGGACTTGACATTCGCAGATGTCGCAGCACCTTGCGGGGCACCGGCCTGGCCGGCCCGGATTGCGTTCCGATTTCATCAGCCACGCGGACAGGCCCACGAAGTGTGGCCCGCAAGTTCCCAAACTTCCTAGACCCCACCCCCCCACCCCCCACGCTCTCTCCTTGGAAAGGTGTTCTTGTGATCACACACATTACAGAGTGACCCCCCAAAAAAGAAAGGAAAAGGTTGTTAGGGGACCCAGATTGAGGGGCCGGCGAAGTTCTGCTTTTTTGTGTCCGGGGTCGGAGCCCGTGCGCAGGTGCAGCGCTCATGTTCAGGGGCTGGAGCAGGTTGGCCGGCTGGACTGTGTGTCTCACTGAACTGAAGCACTTTCCAGGATTTCAGAAAGGGCGCTTTCAGTCTGTTGATACTGAAAACTGAAATTTGCATTTAACTGACGAGTGTGAGAAATGTCCCTGAGAAGGTCACTGTGGCTCGGGAGCTAAATAAGTGAGATCATACAGGGAAGCGGGCTGGGGTCATGGTTGTGCACAGGCTCCCAGCATCCTGAGACGTGTGTCCCATTATCTCAGCAGGAGAAAAAAAGAAAAAAGGTGCCGTAGTAATAATGTTGAAATGGGGCTGGAGATGTGCACGGGGTTGGTTTAAAAAGGTCCTTAAGCTGCCTCGGGAGGGAAAGGTTGGGGAGGGACAAATAAAAGTCCGGCTTCCTGCATAGCTCGTGGCCTGAGGGTGCTGTCCGTCTGGGAGCGGGGCGCCAGCCCCAGACAGAAGTGCTGCTAGCCCAGAAATACAGTAGAAGTCCATATGCTGCGTTTTTCAATTTCTGCTGTTAGAAAGTTTGGGGGGAAAAAAGGGGAGACTTTGAAGTATTTTGTTTATACTAACAGAAGAGAAAAGTTCTCCTAAGAAAAAAGCTGGTGGCAGGAGTGTAGAGGAGTAGCATATGGCATTAAAAGGAGCACAGCTGGAGGTAGCATTTCCATCTGAACATGATGTCAGAGCAGCTGACAGCCTGCCATCTCTCAGCCTTTTATTCTAACACACAGACAGGGAGCCAGTGTGTGCGGATCTGTGGTGGAGAAGGTATCTCATTCCTCCCTAACATCATCTCCACTTTGCATCTGTCTCTCTTAGTCTGCTTTTTTTCCACCGATGTAACAGACCTGGAGCCAGCAAGCCTCAGAGGAAAGGACTTAATCAGGTTTATGTGTCCGAAAGGTAGGAGTAGCAAGAGATTAGATGGAGCATATTTGTGTTTTGGTGTTTTGTTTATTGAATTAAAAAAAAAAAATCACATTACTTTTCTAACCCAGTTTAGGAATAATGTATGAAATGGAGTATGAAATGAACAGCTTATTGGAGTTGCAAGTCTTGGGGCTTGGGTAGTTTTAATTTTTATCCCTTTTGCTGGAGAGCAAGGAAAGAACTTTAATACACAGAAATATTTCAAGTTTTGAAATGTTAAGAAAAGCTTTGACGTACTGCTTTTTGAGGTCACTTTGGATTAAAATGCTTTATATTGTTGTTGTCGTTCACTGCTGTTTAGATTCCTTTTGCTTTGGGGGTCGGGGAGAAATGGTAAACTCTGGAATCCACGTTCAAACTTACATGAGAAGATTATTCTAGTTGAGAAGCTGGGTTGTCGTGTAATTAATTCCACTGTGAAACTTTATTCTTCAAAAACATTCGGCAGCACTGCTGAAACATACAGCTGTGGTGCTTTTGAAACCGAAGGTTTTTTAAAAAGGGAGAAGAAAAAAAAACAACACAAGAAAACTTTTGTCCTCAAGAGAATAGTTTGACTGGCTTCCTCATTTCTCTTTCCAATATATATTTAAGAGATCTTTTATTTCAGCATAACAATAATTATTTGCAGGAGTTTTTGTGTTAGCGACTAATTTAGAACTTGTAGGGTTGAGCTGCCTGAATTGGCCAGACAGCTGTAATCGCACTCCTCTGTTCTTAATCTCTTTATCTGGGCAGCAGCTGCCATATGGCCACCGTCAGCTGGATCAGATGTTTATAAGCTTCCTTCTTCGGCCCTCTCTGTCCTCTCAGCCTCCTAATTTGATCACGGCTACCTTGTGAGCTGCCCTCCAATCTTTATTTTTAGCCCTCTCAGGGATTAGGATTGATGTGCGCTGTGGGGCACTGGGACTGATTGTATTGTACATCTTGGGGTATTCCGCGGTGGCATCTAGCAGACTGGTTTGGGGGGCGAGGGTGAAAGTTTCAGTCCACCTTGGGCAAAGTGTAGAAAAAGCAGGGAAGGAATTTCTAAATATGAAATGACTGTGTGTGTGCCCATTCTCCAAACGTGCTTTCTGGGGTGGGTGGGTGGAACCCTGCTTCTGGCACAGGAAAGGGGAAGTGGGGTTTTCTTTGGTTTTAAGGAGTTGAATTTTGACCCATTGTACAGCTTCGCCTTGCCTCTCCCTCCCTTTCATCCCCCCTGCACCAGAAAACCAGGGCAACAATGCGTATTTGAAAGAATAGAAGCTAGTGGGAAAGCAAAATATATCAAGTTATGTTGAAACAAAGTATTTTCTGTTGACAGAGGTAAGGCAGAGTCAGGGGAAAAAATAGTTTCTCTTTTTCTGGTAAGGCTTTTTTTTTAATGTTGAACCTGTAAAGCTTTTGAATTTCATTTGAACATAATATGCCTTTATTTAAAAGTTCGAATTAATTTGAATATGGAACTCATCTTGCTTTTGCAAAGGATCAAAGTTTAGATAAGATTTTTTTCAGAGTTAAATAAAGCCCTGCTGGCTCCCAAGTCTCTAGAGGTACAGATTTTCCAAAGAAATAATAACCATTTTTCTCAATTCATTAAAAAAATATTTGGATGGGTTTGTAGTAAAGATGATCTTTCCCATCTGTTGGCGCAGCTCCTCCTGCCTCGTACGTGTGCGCTGTACCTGAAATCTTGGGCACACACATGTGTTTTTACACGCAGGGCTTTTGTTGTCATAACACTCTGACTTTAAAAGAAAGTTTTTTGCTAATTCCTGGACTAATTATGCGATTTCATGATGGGTTTTTTTTTTTAAATTATTATTCAACCGAATGTGTATGTTTAAATTGTGCTCTGTAAGCACAATCAGGTATCAAAAGTAATAAAAAGGATGGTCAGACAAGTTTCCCGAATCTTCCAGAGTCTGCCGGGACTTCTCTTTGTTCATTATGAGTTGTTCCCTTTGAAATTCAAGCTATTTTGTAGGTTTTGTGGGACTTAATTTGGTGAGTAGCGTTCCCTAAATGCTTCTGAGAGGGGTCTCAGTCCTTACTCTCAGTAAGAGACGGTCCTGAAACCAAGGCTTTGAAAACTTGACTGAAAGTTCAAGGAAGGTGGGGTGCATTGCAGACGGTGGGGCTGGGGTGCAGCCGTGTGGCAAGCGTGCCTTTCCTCCCCGCATTTGGGTGGCGTGCATGTGATTTGGTCGTGTTTGGGTCAGACGCCTGATTAAAATTCAGGGACATGTGCCCCGGCTGCCAAGCCGAAGGATGGTTTTTTGTGTGGGGACTGGCGTGGCAAGTTGTGAAGTGGCTCTCACGAGAAATGTCTCTCTCCGCAGGTTATGAAGACAGCATGGAGTTCCCAGACCACAGCAGACATTTGCTGCAGTGTCTGAGCGAGCAGAGGCACCAGGGCTTCCTTTGTGACTGCACGGTGCTGGTGGGAGATGCCCAGTTCCGCGCGCACCGCGCCGTGCTGGCTTCGTGCAGCATGTACTTCCACCTCTTCTACAAGGACCAGCTGGACAAAAGGGACATTGTTCATCTGAACAGCGACATTGTTACCGCCCCGGCCTTCGCTCTCCTGCTTGAATTCATGTATGAAGGGAAACTCCAGTTCAAAGACTTGCCCATTGAAGACGTGCTCGCAGCTGCCAGCTATCTCCACATGTATGACATTGTCAAAGTCTGCAAGAAGAAGCTGAAAGAGAAAGCCACCACCGAGGCCGACAGCACCAAGAAGGAGGAAGACGCCTCGAGCTGCTCGGACAAAGTCGAGAGCCTCTCCGATGGCAGCAGCCACATGGCTGGCGACCTGCCCAGCGACGAAGAGGAGGGCGAAGAGGAGAAACTGAACATCCTGCCCAGCAAAAGGGACTTGGCCGGCGAGCCCGGGACCATGTGGATGCGCTTGCCCTCGGACTCAGCAGGCATCCCCCAGGCGGGCGGGGAGGCCGAGCCACACGCCACAGCAGCTGGAAAAACAGTAGCCAGCCCCTGCAGCTCCACCGAGTCTTTGTCCCAGAGGTCTGTCACCTCCGTGAGGGATGCGGCAGATGTTGACTGCGTGCTGGACCTGTCTGTCAAGTCCAGCCTTTCGGGCGTTGAGAATCTGAACAGCTCTTATTTCTCTTCACAGGACGTGCTGAGAAGCAACCTGGTGCAGGTGAAGGTGGAGAAAGAGGCCTCCTGTGATGAGAGCGATGTTGGCACTAATGACTATGACATGGACCATAGCGCGGGGAAAGAGAGTGTGGGCGCTACTCCCAGGGTCCAGTACGAGCCGGCCCACCTGGCTCCGCTGAGGGAGGACTCGGTCCTGCGGGAGCTCGAGCGGGAGGACAAAGCCAGCGACGACGAGATGCTGACCCCGGAGAGCGAGCGCGGGCCGGTGGAGGGCGGCATGGAGAGCAGCCTGCTGCCCTACGTCTCCAACATCCTGAGCCCGGCCGGCCAGATCTTCATGTGCCCGCTGTGCAACAAGGTCTTCCCCAGCCCGCACATCCTGCAGATCCACCTGAGCACGCACTTCCGCGAGCAGGACGGCATCCGCAGCAAGCCGGCCGCCGACGTCAACGTGCCCACCTGCTCGCTGTGCGGCAAGACCTTCTCCTGCATGTACACGCTCAAGCGCCACGAGAGGACCCACTCGGGCGAGAAGCCCTACACCTGCACCCAGTGCGGCAAGAGCTTCCAGTACTCGCACAACCTGAGCCGCCACGCCGTGGTGCACACCCGCGAGAAGCCGCACGCGTGCAAGTGGTGCGAGCGCAGGTTCACGCAGTCGGGGGACCTGTACAGACACATCCGCAAGTTCCACTGTGAGTTGGTGAACTCCTTGTCTGTCAAAAGCGAAGCGCTGAGCTTGCCCACTGTCAGAGACTGGACCTTAGAAGATAGCTCGCAAGAACTCTGGAAATAATTTTATATATATATATATAAATTATATATATATATATATATACATATATATACATAGATCTCTATATATATAGTTGTGGTACGGTCTAAAAGCAGTCTTGTTTCCTGGAACTAAAAAGTTGGGATATTAACTTGTTTTTGCACTTTAGAATAGCATGAGAATCTCACTAACTTAGCATCCTGATAAAAGAAACTTTAGGGCGAGTCAGAATAGAGAGGTGTTTTCTCTGAGGGGTAGGGGAAGTAAGCCAATAAGAACCTTTGAAACAAATCGTCCTATCGCAGAAGGCGTGCATAGGGCTTCATTTTGTCAACACTGCATTGTCTCGAGGTCCTTCCCCCCCACACACTTTTTTTGTTTGGAAGTAGAAATTCCCTCCAGTTTTATTAGCCTCTTTCTATGTCTCAAATTGCATGAATCTTTTCTGGCTGTTGGAAACGGGAATGCTTTTAGACCCAAATGGAAAATTTCTGAAATGCTGGATTATCTATTTTTAAACAAGCAGTTGACTTAAAACTTTCTGTGGCAACTTCTGGTTTCCTGACGGTTCCCAGTGAGAGCAATGATGAGCGTACACTGGGTCACTGGGACCCTGTCTTTGTGAAGGTTTGCTGGGGATGAAGAGGATAGTGCAGCTTCAGCAGTGTTGAACTGTGTTGAAAATGTGAATTACTGTCATTGTATACTGTAATTGATTACACGGGCTGGGGGGGGTGTCAAAGAACTTGACAGGTTGTGTTGATGCTCTTAGTTGAGTCTTGAAGAGTAAATATTAACGCTACAGAAATGCATGAGTTTCGATATATTTTTGTCTTTGTTTGCATTGTATAACTTTAACGAGTGAGTTTAAAATTATTTAATTTCCTTAGAAAAAAAAAATAGCACCATTCGGAAAATAACCTGGTGTTATGAAGAACGTAAATGCACTGTTTTTATTTTTATTTTATATAATTTAAATCGACTTTCCCACTGTTTTTAAGTTGAAACTGTTAAGCTGAATAAAAACGTAAGCTGCAAATTGATAACTTCGCTACATAACAAGGAAAATATAAATGTTTACAAACGGCTTAAAGATTTGCATGTGCAGTGTGCATTTATAACAAACTTCTGATGGCACGGAACCCGCGCCGGCTCCAAGTTTAGGTGTACCCATTTATACCCAGTTGAGCATCTTTAGAATAACTACTGCACAAATTGACAATAGGTCATTCTTTTTTCTTTTGCTCCCCTTCTTCCTCACCCGCCCTCCCTATCCCACCTCCCACCCCCTCCCCCAACTCATGAAAAGATTCTATGGACTGAAAAAGCCCCAGGCTGAAAGGACTGGACTGCCTTGATTGACATGGGGAAGGGGGTTAGTAGACTATGGATCGCGGCAGAGGCTGCCGCCCAGCGTGCGCTGTGGTGACCACGCGGGCAAGAGCATTTTGCACAGTGTTTGTTTTCCTGTCTTGCACTTACAAATAAGGTCTATGGGAGTAGCATGGAAAACGTTTGCTGTTTTTCCCTTTTTTTTTTTTTTTTTTAATTGCTTTTGTTTAAAATTTGATCGCCTTAACTACTGTAAACATAGCCTATTTTTGTGCTTAAGATACTGAATGGAAAACTCCATTGTGTGTTGCTGGACTGTTTTGGAAATATTTGGTCAAATGTGTGTTAATTTGGCTGTAATGGCATTTAAAGCAAACAAACAAACAAACAAAAAAAAGCTGTGAAAATGGCCTTGGAGCATTATCTTTAGTTACTTGAAGAGTTTCTAGTTTTGTTTTGTTTTTAAATACAGTTTATGTTAAAGTAATTTTTATTAATTTAGAGAAGACAATCAATGTCTGTGAGAAAACGGACTTTCTTTTGAATTTTCTTTTTGTGGTCATTGTGAGTGATTACTTTTTCTTCTTAGTTTCACCTTCTTCCTTTGTTCTAAAACTTAGACTGACATCTAGCTTTGACAATCATAGTATGTTTTATTTTCCTGAGGGGGGAATAACTTATAATGCTGTTTAGTTTTGTACTGTTGGTGTGTTGGTGAATTTTTAAACTGTGTGCTAACTGCAATAAATTATATGAACTCAGCTTCTCGTGTGCTATTTTAATTGTGACTATGTACTACACGATCCTAAGTGTGTATCATACGTGGCATCTTTGTTTTTAATGTCAGCTCTATTCAGAGCTTATGAAATTATTAGAATGCCTTAAAATCACTCAAATGGAAATGGGCAAACATTTTTGCTTCTAGTCATTTAAGACGATACTAAACGCACATTTTAAAAGTGTGGCCCATTTTCTACCACCTCGATCACAAATGTGAAGGTAATTCCCTAGAAGTGTGTGAATCCATGAAACCTCAAGTGGTCACATAAGGTTTTCCTTCAGACGCTGGCCAGCTTCTAATCCCTGCGCATAAGTCATTTTCATGGGTAATTTTATCTTAAGTTGATTGGTCAGATCTATTCTTCTGTGTTCTGTTTTAAGTGGAAAATTGAAGGAGACCGGATGTCTTCATTTGGAAGACTGCTTGGCTAATGACTGGAATTCTAGGCAATTGAATTAGCAGGCATTTGATGGTCCCAGATTAGCTTATATACATCCTTTCTGTGGCTGGTGAACTCGGAAGCCCCCAGGTTTTCATTCTTAAGTTTAAATTTTAAAATGTAATAAAGTCCAGGGAACCATTAAAAGGCCTCTGTTCCCTAATTTTTGTGATGGTCCCAACTTCCTGAGCGAGTCACTGGGCATGTCGAGACCGAAGCATTGCCGGTTGACCTAAGGAATTGACGGCGCACTCACGCGCTGGGTGGTTCTGTACTAGGGGTTGTCCCATGTGGCCCTAAGTGGAGCCGGGCCAGCACGGACCTGAGAATCTGCAAATCCTGAAGTCCAATTGCCCCTAAGTTCCAGCTTTAAAGACACAGATGAAAATGTAGTTTCACATTCTTACTGTCCAAACTAAAATACATATTACGTGGCCTGTAGTCAGGTTAACATCCGTATATAGGAACAAAGTGGTAGAAGAGCTTGAATGTGTGAGCTCCCTGATGGCTCTGGGTGGAAATCCAAAGTGACTTTCATCATAAAGCACAATCATTTATAACTTAGAATTCCACTTCTCTCTTTTTTGTTGAGAGAGGGTTTCTATTACCTGAAACTCACACTTGGTTTTAACCAATTAAACATCATTGCACATGAAAGAGCTCCACAAAGTAATTTCTTGGGCAGTTACACGCTTATTCAGAAAGGACGTCGTAGCTGGACACAGTGCCTCAAAGCTTTCTGAAGGTGTTGAAAGTCCTCATGTAGCATCTAATTTAAAATGAAGAGCATTATCTTAAACTTGACTGGCTGTACTTATAAAAGCAATATTTTGACACGTAATTTGGAAAAAATAACTTCAAAAATTCTTTGCAAAACTAGGATGTTAATTACACAAATCACCACAGTTGGAAACCAAATTGATCCCTACCCCCCCACCCCCCGACCCCGGACATCTGGCTGATACCTAGTGTATTTTAAATAGGTAGTTTCATTTACTTTTAACATCTGTTTCTTTTAGATAATCAATTAGCCCCAGGTCGCTGTGGGCCCAGCATTGTGTGCTGGGCACACCCTCGGGAATACCCTAGAAGTATAAAATGTTAAAGATACTGGTTTTGGATTTCCTTTCTAGTCAATTATGCTCTCAGATTAATGGTGAATCAAGTAGACTTTTTCTTTAACAGACTTGTCATGATTATCTGCAAACAGGTTATGGGAAGGTCTGAAAGAGGTGAACATTATATTAAATTATATAATAGCTCACATTTAAATGGCTGAAATATTCATTTTCCAAGTAAGTCTTTTGAACTATCATCAAAGAAAATAGTTGTTTTTTACCTAAGTAGTAACACTAAAAAACTTTTGATTTTCCCAAGTTTTATCAAGAAAACACAAAGTATCTAAAACTAGACTTTATAAACCCCATTATATCAGGTAAGAATTTTTTTTTAAGTCTCAACATTTTCTGTATTGTGTATCTACATTTTCTTCCTATAGAGATTAAAACATTTTTTTTATTTTTAATATGATGAGGGATACTTTTACATGCATCTGGTTAGGAAACTCAGGTAATTTTAGATTTAATCCATAGATTATTCATCTAAATTTTTGTTGTAATTATTGCAATGTTTGAAATTGCTGATGAGGAACAGGGAATCAAGTAAGTGAATTTTGAAATTCAGGGCGAAGAGCTCAATTCATTTAAGTCATTTGCCATTAAAATACCAGAGATGATGCCATTTTAAAACATAAAGCAATAGATGTATTTCTTAAAAGCAAATAGCTTTTAGGAGTTTTATTTTGGCTATTGTCCAAGTTTATTACACAAGTAGGATTTTTCTACTTTTGCCTTCAGAAACATGGCAAAATGTCTTTGCTCCAAATCCTGTGGTCAAAATGATGCGATCCTGTGGTGTAGGATGTAGAACACTTATCTTTTGACTAAATTCAAGTGAATTTAGTTACATAACACAGAATAGTGTATTGTTCTAACCCAGTGGTCAGCAAACTCATTAGTCAACAGAGCCAAATATCAACAGTACAACGATTGAAATTTCTTTTGAGAGCCAAATTTTTTAAACTTAAACTATATAGGTAGGTACATTGTTATTAACTTAATTAAGGTACTCCTAAGGCTTAGGAAGAGCCACACTCAAGGGGCCAAAGAGCCGCATGTGGCTTGCGAGCCGCGGTTTGCCGACCAAGGTTCTAACCCAACCCTTCTTAGATTTTCTTAATATTATAAAAGGAATCAGAGCTTATTGATGTCACTGGAGGTTTTTAGACATATTAATTCATTTTCAGAGACATTTAAAAAATTAAACTTTTAGCACCTTTGCAAACTGACTCCCTAAAAATCTTGACTCATTGTTGTCATTTCTGGGGAAAGAAGCTGAACTCCTTAAATTGAAAACTTCGTAACAGGAAAGGGTGAGGTCTTAGAAATGGAACAGTAGCTTGAAAAGATTTTTTTTTTTAAGCTCAAATACCTTATAAGCATCTGCTTACACTTAATTGTTGAATTAATTATCCAGTTAATTCAGGCCCAAAGATTTTTTTCCCCCTAAAAATTTCAAATACTTGAAAGAAATCAGATTTTTTGAGAGGGATGGTTTCTCCAGTTAACGTTCCTGATGTACTCTGACATGGACTGACATGCTTGCTGCTAATGGCCTCTGTGAGCGTGGTACTTTCCTCGCCTGAGACTAGTTCACAGGAAATTCAAAACTAATTTTTTTCTTGAATTTGCAGGTACTTCCCCACCTTTGCCAGTCTTTCCCAGGGCTGGGCTTGGGGCTGAGCTTGCGTTTTGCTATAGGCGGCATTCTCTCTAGCTAGTTTGGCAAGAGAAGAGTGAAAACCCAATTTGGCTTTAACATGTAGCACATTAGTCAGTAACAGTTTCAGTGAGGATATTAAGAGTGGCTCTGAGAGGCAGTGTGACACCCAGAGAGAGGCCATTCATGGAAATGACTTATTTACAGTTGGTTATAATCTCTGTAGTTAATCATTAAATCAAGTTGGTTTTTTTAAAATGTCAATATACATGCTTAAAAGGACTATCGAGGGGTTTTTAAAAGTCCTATTGGCCTAGCTATTGAAGTTTGTAATAGGTGTACCATATATGGAGTTAATGTGAAGTGGTATATGGAAAAATGTATTTGAATATTGGCATCAGTTTTAGGATCGATACAAGCCGTTGTTTCAATACAGAATGGGTATATAATGAACTTGAAAGAATACCATAACCTTATTTACGTGTGCTCTGCCAAGCCAGAGCTAACTTTTAGTATATGATACAGCTTAACATAATGCATCTTAACTGTGTAGGATTTAAACATGTATGTTACTGGCTCGGCCAGTGTGGCTCAGTGGTTGGGCATCAACCCATGAACCATGAAGTCCCCGTTTCAATTCCCGGTTGGGGGGCTGTGCAGGAGACAGCTGATCGATGTCTCTCTCTCATCGATGCTTCTATCCCTCTCTCTCCCTTTCTCTCTAAATCAATAAAAAACATATATATTACATACATATATATTATATACATATATATTATATATATATTCCTTAAAATTAAAAGTAAGGACATACTCGCTGCATTAAAAGTCATAATACAGTGTGTGTTTCACCTTTGAGAGCCTTGGGAGAGAAATTTCTATAGGTCTCATGCCCTGAAATGATATTTGATCAAAGTCAGAGCATTTAGGCTTTCTGTGGAACTATCTCAAATGTGCTTTTAAAAGCAGACTGAGAATAGACACATACGTTTTCAATGGACCATTTCTTTGGACCTGCACCATCTAAACGAGTTGCTTGGTAATAGTGAAATGCCCATTGCGTGTATGCTAGTCAGACAATGCTTTCTAAGGCTGTCTCCTTGGACAGGTTTAAGAAAAGCACAATTGTGCAATAGTAGATCAGTAAAACATTTAAGAAAAGTATTTCTTATTTGTGAGCCACAGCCATAGACGTCAGTGCATCTATTTGGATTTAGTGTAAAAAAAATATACCTATTTCTTCTCATTTATACTAGTAAGTTTCTCTGTGTCACTTAAAATCCTCAACGAATGGAAGAATTTTGAGCATAAAACCATATTGCAGGACAATCTAATTTATAAAGTTATTTCTATAAGTAACTGCCTTTGAGAAAAGCGGTCCCTTAAGGGTGTGACAGGAGGAAAAAGATGGTCGAGGCTTATAGTCCAAGTATGGACGTTGTACGCAAGCTCTTCGTGCAGAATTTGTTCCAGATCTCTTCAAAATCCCTGAGATTTTGCAACCGAACAAGCCGACAGGAACTGAAGGCTGGCAGATGGGAGAGCCCTTCAGGTTCTTATTTTTCTGGAAAATCAAACTAAAATTCCTGCTTGATAACCTGCCCTTCATTTTCCTCAACGTCCTTCTTTCATCACAGGAGGTTACAGCGCCAGCATCGAGCAATTTTGACACCGTTACACAACTGAATTTTCCAAAGGTGCTGATGTTTGTGTCTGAGTGTCTACCATTTTGAAGAAAAAAAAAAAAATCGAAACACACCGGAA